TTTAAAATGGAAACTTCTGAGCCACGTGGTGAAGTTTCCTACTTGGTGAGCATAAGCAAAGGATGGACCTTACATGGGGGTGGTGTATCAGGTGTTGTGGTGTTCATGGAGTGAAGGCAGGGCCTTGGACTGCAGCAGAGATGGGTGACTGGAATAGCTGTGTGTGATCATGTATTCTGTGTGGTTCTTTGAGATTTGAAATTCTTCTCCAAAAGTTGTCCCAAAAAATGTGAGGCTGTTGAGCCCAAGCTAAGGTAAACCATAAAGCATATAATGACAGTTCAAAGGTCAGTGTTTAATTGAGTGTTGGATAAGAGGAGATAGCTTCCCTCCACATCAGGATGCCTCTGTGTGTCCATTTGCATTGCATACCTGGAGCTTTTAGACTTGGGTCTGCATTATTTTCTAACAACTGAGACCGTTTATTTGCAAAGTTGATGGTTTCATTAAAAATGAATGATCTGGATAAAGGTGTTTGGATAATCATTTTTGAGGAGTGTTCCCATAAAAAAGTTTGTGTTGTAGAAAATGCTGTGCAATGTAGTCAAACTCATTGTTCTACAGATCTTGGATTAAAAAGCAAATAAGCCAACCAGCTTGGAATAAATGCTGAGATCTAAAGATGAAGGCAAGACCTTGGTTTTATTAAGTATTCTCTTTTAAATCCTGTTAGAAAAGCAAATTAAAGGGTTTGTCATCAGAGGATGTTTTTCATTTCATAGATGAAAATGAATTCACATCCTAAAATCACATGGGTGCAATAGCAATGACTTGCTGCTGTGGATTGAATTTGAGTGCCAGGAAGTTGTAAAATTCATCAAGAGTGGCCTTTGAGTCCTCAGCCTGAGTCTTCAGGAACAAAACCATCGAGGACGCAGATTATTGCAGCCCTTGAAATATGGGAGACGTGCTGCTAGTGTAACTGCTCAGGGGCACTAATACAATTACAGCCTGAAATGTGAGTGCAGGGACACACTGGAGTGCATTTTCTTCAGGATCAACAAAGACTTTCCACAAATGACCCAAATCTCTCTTGGTCCTGGGTGCCACAGGCTGGGGCAGGTGTCCTGTCCCCTCTCACACCTCTGCTCCTGCAGTCAGCTATTCCATTCCCTGGTTTGAAGCCTCCTCAGGATTCATTCTACAACAGATTTCTCCTGTCTTCCAGCCCCCCTAGGGGAAAGTATTTGAGAATTCTGCTCCCGTGGCAGCTGGAAACCTCTTTCTAATTTTTTTCATTTAAAGTTACTTCTGAACACATGAGTTTGTAGGTTGTTGCTGCCCAGAGTCCTGTGCAGGACTTCATTTTACCTCAACATTCTTCCTTACATTTACTGGAAATTCCATCCTTTTTATGTCTTAATAGTGAATTTGCAGTTTGTCTTGTATTCATCCTGTCACTGACTACAAACCCAAACTCTCTTCCTCTTCTGTCACTTGTAGTTGCTAAGACTCTGTTAGGGAAGTTTTCTACAGTTCATGCTCAGGTGGCCAAGGAGGCCAAAGGCATCCTGGGCTGGATCAGGAACAGTGTGCTCAGCAGGACCAGGAGGTGATTCTGCCCCTGCACTCGGTGCTGGTGAGGCCACACCTTGAATCCTGTGCTCAGCTCTGGCCCCTCAGCTCAGGAGGGACATTGAGGGGCTGGAGCAGGTCCAGAGCAGAGCAACGAGGCTGGGGAAGGGACTGGAGCACAAGTGCCATGAGGAGAGGCTGAGGGAGCTGGGGGTGTTCAGCCTGGAGAAGAGGAGGCTCAGGGGAGACCTCATCACCCTCTGCAACTCCCTGACAGGAGGTTGGACTCAGGTGGGGGTTGGTCTCTGCTCCCAGGCAACAGCAGCAGGACAAGAGGGCACAGACTCAAGCTCTGCCAGGGGAGGGTTAGGTTGGAGATTAGGAAGAGATTTTTTCCAGAGAGAGTGATCAGACATTGGAATGTGCTGCCCAGGGAGGTGGTGGATTCACCATCCCTGGAGGTTTTCCAGGTGAGACTGGATGTGGCACTTAGTGCCATGGGCTAGTGACCACAGTAGGGTTGGACTTGATGATCTTGGAGGTCTTTTCCAACCCGGTTGATTCTGTGATTCTATGTCAGAGCTCTAAATACTCATCCTTGAACAATACTTCTCCTTCTGTGCTTCTTACTTCAGTCTTCAAGCTGTGCTGTCTCCCTGGGCAGAATTTCTGTGTGTTGGTAATAGCATCCTATGTTGTATTGCAAGCCCTCAGGGTTCACACCAGTTCAAATATGCAATCATCAAACTTTCCTAATGAATATCCATGTGTTTGCACATGGAATTGTCATACAAGCAGATACATGTGTGTCTTACCATGTCTGGTATTTAATAAGTAATGGATCATGAAAGCAATATGAAAAATCACTGATTTTGCATTGAATTACATAAAACAGCTTCCAAGGAGAGGAAACAATTGAGTAACAATGTCTGTTGTTCTCATTATTATGTGTGTTTTTTTCAGTTTTTGACTTTTTGTGTCTGAAAATTGCTATAGTTTGTGGTTTGTGATTTAAGGTTTGATATATCAAGAGCTTCTTTTTGCTTGAAACTTTCTCCTTAGTCTTTCATAACTGGATAGGCTGTGGTTTTTTCTGAATTCTGTAGTGCTAATAATTGAAAACCTGGCAGCTCTGGACTTTGGGGAGAATGGCTTAGGAAGAACTCAATGTGAGTGCACTCTTCTGCCTAGGAAAATGGGCTCTCTGCAAGCAGCTTCTCATCCCAGACATAGATAAGTTTTGCTAACCCAAAAATGGAGTGTGTGGTATGAAAAAAGGTTTTCTGAGAGCATTGAGCCCAGCAGGGTTCGAGTGAGCACACTTGCACTGAGGCTCTGAGCCAGTGTTCTGTGTACAAGTGAAGAGTTGGAGAGGGAATCCCCACACCAGTGTAGCTGAAGAGAGATCTCTGTTCCACAGTTTGCAGTTTTGAAAGTGCCAGATCGGATGAAGCGAATGATGATTTTGTCTTGGGAAAGGTTGCCTGAGACTCATTTAGAGACATCTTACTCCAGGGTCATTTTGCTGACCTCTTTTCTCAGGTTTCCACAATGAGACTGGTGCTGTTTGCACAGCTTGACTTCAGAGAAAAACAGCATCAGTGCAATTCTGTGAAATTCCCTAAATGCCCCTAAAAAATATTTTTGTAAATCTGTGCAGTTTGTTGTGGGATGGTAATGGTACGAAGCTCTTACAGACATCACCTCAAATTCACTAAGGAACAGTATGACTGTCTTAACATTATTTTTCTGGTCTCTCACACTGTTATGTGTTCCACATTTTATAGAAGAGAGAAACTCCATATTGGCAATGTGGGATCACCAAAGATTCCCACGTCTCTGTTCACCCAGGAGAAGATGGTGCTGTGCCACCACGAGTCCAGCTTTATGATCCTTGGGGGAAAGAACTGGAACTAATTTTATAAACCCTAAGAATTGCGATGTGTTCTGGTGGTTTTTCTTCTAATAATAGCTCGAGTATTGTGTAGCTTTAAAAGGAAAGTGATTTAATTTTTCTCTAAACCTCTAATGAATCAAGGCTATTAGCTGCCTGAGGGCCCTGGGCAGTGTAATCCTGAGCAGCTCAAGTTTTAATACCCTTTCTGTTACTGCTCCTCTGATGAGTGTCCGTAAGTGTTTCAGTTAAAATGAGTTTGCCATAATTTTTTTTGTTGCAGGGTTATCCACCCATAACAAAATCTCATTTCACTTCCACACTGCAGATTTTTCAGACAACTTTTGCAGTTACAGCCTCAGCAGCTGTGGAGTTCTTGCTGTGTCTAACACCAGGATTAAAGCTGAGACTTCACCACGTTGTTAGTCTTTGCCTGAAAGTCAGATGTTCTTTTCCTTCGCTTTTCCACTGTAGCATCATGCTCATCTTTGCCCCAGAATCGATTGCCTGTTTCCTTGAGGAAGTTTAGGTATAGTTTTTACCACCAGCATTCTAGTTCTGCAGCTTGTGCACCAACTCAGAGTTCTTTATTTCTCAAGTGTTATCTCATAGACGTTACGATTTTCTTCAGGGAGTGAAATTTAGTTGTGTGCTCCTGACGTGAGGAAGTGCTATCTGAGCCTTGTTTCAAGGCTGATGTTGAAGTGTGTGTGTTATATTCCACCCTCTGACAGCAGAGATTCTTCCCAAGTTATATGAATGTAAGCAGGTGGATTTGCTTGGTTTATTGTAGTGCCATTACCATGCTATGGACCCAGAAATAAAGTGAGGGAACCCTACAGTGTCCCCCTCAACAGATCTTTTTATGTACCTTGACAGCAAGAATATGAAGGTGAGAACATACAGTAGTTCTGGATTAAAAGAAATGGCATTTGACTTGACTGCAGGTTGGGTCAAAGAAACGATCAGGTTTCTTCCTGGCTGTCTTTTGGTGAGTGTATTGGCTGGCTCTGCTCTTGCCATGTTTCTCTTGGCACGCCAGGCTTTGGAGGTGCTAACGAAGCTGGATTTGCCTCTAATTGGAACTCGAGATGTCAAGCTGGTGGAGCTCATGCTATAGCAGATCTGTCACGAGTTAGGTAGAGTTTGGTTCTTAAAAATGTGAATCTACTCGATAAAGGCAAATTTCTTGAGTGCCCTAATGCATCAGCAGAACCAGGATTGTTTTTTCAATGGCACATAGTTCCAGAAGTTTTATGTGCTTCATTGCACAGTGTTTTGTTCATATAAGTAAACTTGCTTTTGATGTTTTTTTCAGTGTCCTTTATGAAGTCATGTTCATTGTGCTTTTTTTACTGTTATTTATGATGAAACTCAGAACTTCTGTGTGAAGCTCTTCCTTTTACACCACGCAAAGGTTCCTTGTAAGACACGTTCGCTTTATTTAAAACCAAAATTTAGTTAATGCTAGAGCAAGACTGGGTTGGGTTTGTCAGATGTTATCTTAGACCAGACTATAATATATTTGACCTGAGTCCCAAAGTTCCTCACTATAGAAGAGAATAACCAATTTCTGCACTTTCTCCCACAGACACCTGAGGAGCTAGAAGATGTGTCTGACCTGGAGGAAGAGCACGACACGCGGAGTCGTACGAGTATTCAGACCGAAGGGAAAACTGACAGGGTATGTGTTACCCCAGTGGGTGTGAAGAGCACTGTGAGGGGGGAAAATGCTGTCATATTACTCTTTGTGTGAGGCCACTGAAAGTCATGCAGTGAATCAGTAGAATCTCTTTCAATTCTTCATGGGTTTCTGCAAGTGACCTGAAACAGGAAAGGACTGTAATTAAACTGTAAATACTTAGCAAAGTGAAAATTAGGCAGAAAATTCTTATGCTTACTGAATAAAATTCTGACAAGTGGCAGTTTGGTAAGTGTGGCTTGGTCTGATATAAAGTAGGTTTCTGATGAGTGCTTTCTGTATGGGTTGTACTGAAACCTGCAGCGTGTGCAAACCAAAAATAACCAGGGCAGGCAAGAAACTTGCCATGGGAAAGAGAAAGGGATATGTCTGCAATATGAGCCACTACAGTGTGAGTTACAGATGCTTCCTGCTGTGTTCATGTGCCAGCCTGTTCTGTAGTTTATTGCTTCACTCGTGAAGTCATGAGGAAGTGTGAAGAACTTCTCACAGTATCTGGCAAAGTCAGTATGTCTGGAAATTTTGGATTGATTTTCCTGGTGTGGCATCATCTAACCTGAGGACTTCACCACATTGCTGGGTTTGTTTGTTGTTTACTTTCAAACATTTCGAAGAGCTTGAAAACATTTTTGAGATAGCAAAGTTTTCTCAGTACAAAATTGAAGTATTGAGCAAGTATTCAGCTCCTTTATGTTCCCATTTTAAGTAATGTTTCAGCAAAACCAAACCATACTCTGCTAACAACTTTCTGAGGTGGAAGATCCATGGGGACAGAAATGTCAACTTCATTACTTGTGTGCTCAATACCTAGAGCAGTAACTGATCTCTCACACTCGATTGATTCTAATATTGTTCCTGTAATGGAAATTATAAATGATAGAACTATTTGGGAAAAAGCAAAACTTTTCCATATAAAAAGAATCATGTCCAAAAATGGTATTTTAATTCACATCTGAATTTCAGCAAACACATCATTTTATTGAACAAACACAAATATTTTCTTGATTAAGACCCTAAACACTAATGAAAAAACACTAACCAAAGTGAATACTATTGACTTGTGTTGCATATGTGGAGATCATATGTCAGTTAACTGTCAGTTAATTGTTAAAAGGTTGTGAGAAAGGTAACAACTGTGTGAGCAAACACCACACGGCCTCATTCTGTGAAAAACAGAGCTGGCAGTTAAAATACTCTAGCTGCCCTTTGCAATTTAAATTGCTCTCTGCAAATGTTAGCACATTTCCCTTAAGTTAAAGGCTAAAACTTGTAGTTAAGAAAGGAAAGGTTTTCCATCAAGGTGTTCTCCATAAAGGTTGCTACAGCTTTGTCTGGAACAGGCACAGAGGGTGTGCTTGCATATGTTTGTACACATCCCTTAGTGAATGCAGCTGAAGTTTTTCTCTTACTGGGTAGTAGTTTGTAGATATTTATTATCACAGTGTAGTAACAAGAGATCCACTAAAGCTTTGCATTTTTCTGCATGGTTCTCAGGTTAACTGGAATATCTCTTTAAAGGGAGTGGGTTTTTGTAGAGAAAAGCATAAGTAAGACATACTTGCAGGTGACTGCACAAAGCAAGCAGTGAAATGCTGAGGCCAGGTTAGATAGGGAGTTGGCTGGCGAGGAGAGTGTGCTGGTTTGAGCTGAAGTAGAGTTAACTTTCTTCCCAGTGGCTAGTATGGGGCTATGTTTGGGTTTTGTGCTGAACACAGAGTTGATAATGCAGAGATGTTTTTGTTGTTGCTGAGCAGAGCTCACACAGAGCCAAGGCCTTTCCTGCGTTCTGTACTGCCACACTGGCAAGGGAGTTGGGGGTGCATGGGAGATTGGGAGGAGACACAGCTGGGACAGGTGACCCAAACTGACCAAAGGGATATTCCATACCATAGCACATCATGCTCAGTATATAAGGTGGGAGGAAGAAGGAGAAAGGAGGGACATCTGGAGTGATGGTGTTTGTCTTCCCAAGGAACCGTTACACGTGATGGGCCCTGCTCTCCTGGAGGTGCTGAACACCTCCTGTCTGTGGGAAGCAGTGAATTAATTCCTTGTTTTGCTTTGCTTGTGTGTGCAGCTTTTGCTTTCTCTATTAAACTGTCTTTATCTCAACCCATGAGTTTTTGTAGCTTTTACCCTTCCTATTCTCTCCCCCATCCCCTTGGTGGGGCAGTGAGTGAGAGGCTGTTGGTTCTTGGCTGCTGCTGGGGTTAAACCACGACAGAGAGGCACAGGTTGTTGCTGCAGAGAGGCAGCTCTGGGCTGTGCTTCTCCTTGTGCTGCACACACACTAGTTCATCTGCTGTTTGTTGGCTAAGTGGAAGGGACTGCTACAGATAAACTGTGGTTTACACATTTGAAAAAACAGTATTTTAGCATTATAGTGTGTACATATCTCTTTTTCTTCCATTTCTCCCTAAAATAATGCAGTTACTGTAAATCTTCCTATGCATGGGATCTAGACAGCAGTCACAGCTTCAAGCCTGATTCTGTGTCCTGGGAACAGGTTTCCTAGAATCACAGAATCATAGAATCATCCAGGTTGGAAAAGACCTCAGAGATCATCGAGTCCAACCCTACCGTGGTTAACCTTACCGTGATTTCAGATCTTGCTGCTGCATCATAAATGGCACATTACTCACAAAAGTATCAGAAAATTATAGCTTGGACTAAACTCTATACATACTTACTCAGCCTAAATCAACATCGTGACAGAAACCTGCACCAAATGTTTGAACAAATCTATGTGCTGCTGCAGCAAACAGGAGCAATGATTTAAGGCCTCTCTGTTTGGTTTGCTATTTGATATTGATATTTGAGGATTTATACCTAGAACCTCTTTCTCAATGTGAGGAGTCTGTATAGGCAAGACAGATTTTGAGGTCTGGACAGTTTGTGCAGCAGATTTCTGTGCTGTGGTGAGGCTGTTGCACCCCATGGTGACACCAAGAATGGCTGTGTTTCAAAATGGTGTGGCAGGATTGCAAACCAGCACATAACCTTTTCCTCCTTGGGTTCTTTCTCTGGGGCATTGCAACCATAATAATTCAGTTTTATTTATGCATACCTGGCTCCATACTAGTTCTGCATAATGGCACTCTTGCTTCCCCTCGCTTTGGCAAGAGTGTCGTAATTTCTTCTGTGCCACATCTCTCGCTTTGGCAAGTGTCGTAATTTCTTCTGTGCCACATCTCCCACTGCTCCAACAGGGAACTAATGCCTCTTTCTTTCTGTTTTTATCACAGCATATAAGGCCTATAAATCCAGATGTGATGTGCATGTGCCACTTATAACAAAGGCTACATCCTAACAGGCAAACCTCATTTCCCTCATGTAGAAAACAGTCATGTATTGTGAATGACTCCTCCTTCAGAATCTGTCTCTGTTAGAGAGAGGATAATTAGTGGTGAGATGGTAGGACTGAGAGTTCTATCAGAGAGAGGATTATTAGTGGTGAGATGGTAGGACTGAGAGCTCAGCTCCTATTTATGTTCCTGATTCGTCTTGGAAATGTTACGTCCTTGGTCTTTTCTCTCACCTCGTTGTGTGTTTCTGAGGTGAGTGTGACAGTGCCTGTGGGACCATCCCATGCTGTGGCATGCAGGGTAACCTGGACCATGTGCTGTGAGAGCTCAGTAATTAAACTACACAGAAATACTGATTGTTATTTGTAGGGTGGGTTGATATTCTTGGAAAGATCTTTAGGAACAAGTCCTTAGCTGCTATAAAAGCAGGTACTGCTTGTGTTTCCAGTGCCAGTGCAGGTTTCCTCAGCTGACTGTTAGATCTTCCTCTGGCTGTTGTGTCTGGTTTGTGCAGCCAGCCCTGCAGGCTTCTCACACTAATTTGCTTGAGGGAATTTGTGCTGTCATGATCAGTAATTGCACTGAGGTAGGGGCTTATCATCATCTGATTTTGCGTTGAAGAGAAGATCAAGGAAGAATTTTCCCAATTAATTTTCAGTCTTAGACGACAACGTACATTCTGATAATCAGAGAAAATTTATCTTAAGTGTTTCAAGTTACTAAGTAAGTGAACAGCTCGTCATAATTTGAGAGTGACTGCTGCAGGTTAGGTGTTCAGATTGAAGAAGAGGCAAAATGTTTTACCTCATGGCATAATCCACTTAGGGATAACAAGAGCAGAACTGCTTTCAGGCAACCACGCACCCACATTTATTTTTTTCAGAGTTCTGCCCACAGTTTTGTGAACACATTGACAAACATGTCTGGGAATAGGATCATGTTTTATACAGGTTTGTTACTTACTATGTTTGCACAACAAATCAGGGCAGATGAAAAGTTGACTCAGTGTGGGTTCTTGGAATGAGAAAAGCAGGCTGGATTTATGTACTGTTCTTATTTGTGTTGCATCTTTAATGCAGCAGTCATTGATTTGTGTCTAAAAATATATTTAGCCCTGAAAAGATGGCCATGTAAATGTCTTGCCAAACTCTAAGCAGAGAGAGTAGTTATCAAAGCAAACACTAAGAAGACCTATTGATACTTGCATAAAAAATACTTAGAAGGGAAGTTAAACTTGCCATCAAATTAATTTGCTGTTCTTATTCAAGGAACAAATACTTTATGTGTAAATTCCTATGTTAATAGCAATGCTGGCATGCATTATTAGAAAGCATATGGTATTTTGTTAATTAAAAAGCCAAGCTTAAAGTATTTTGTAAGTTTAATTTTTATCAGAACCACACACAAGCATGAAACACTTATGAGAAGAATTCAAGCATGTTCAAAATAACTGCTGTAATTTTGTGGAGGTTCTATGAATAGTAGTTTTGACATTTGACACATGGCAAAAGATTCCTGTCAGGAGTTGTGATCTATCAAAAACATCAGATTTCCTTGACAATTCTTAGCCCAATTTCAGTCAAGGGAAGAGATGAAGTAAATAGAGAACTCAAGGTTGTAGCAGTATGTTATAAACTATTACATATCCTACTACATATGTATTACATGCTAGATA